CCCGGCGGAGCCGGGGCCTCGGGTGCGCGGCCGGGCCGCCCGGGGCCGCACTCACCGCTGCAGCACCAGGACGACGGGGAGCCGTTGGGGAACTTGGCTGAGTCCGGAACGATGCAGACGCTGGAGCTGAGGTGCGGACACTCCATGGCCACGAGGAGGGCGGCGAGGAGGACCGAGGCTCCGGGGCCGGGCGAGGTGGGGGCGGAGGGACTCCGAAGTCTCCGTCTGGTGTCGCTCCTCGCCGGGCGCTCGGCCGACGGCCGCTGCGTCCCGAGCCCTTGCGTCAAAGAAAGCAAAGGCTTCCGGGCGCCGGGTTTTCCCACCCGCCGTCTCCAGGAGCCCGGCTCCGGAGAACGTGGAAATCCGGGATCCGGGTTCTGCCGCCACCACTAGGCTGGGGGCTTCCGTCTTCCCAGGCCGGCCCCGCCCCCAGTTAGGGCCCGCCCCCAGTCAGGCCCCGCCCCCAGGCTCGGCCCCGCCCCCGTCCGCTCCCGCGGGGAGGCGTCCCGGCGCGCGCGGGCGGGTGGCCCTGAGTCAGGCCCAGCTGGGAAGTGACTTTCCGAACTCCGCCGCCCCGGGCGGCCGCGGCTTCCCCCGGCCCCGAGAAGGGTGGGGCGCCAAGCCCGGGCACGCCGGGCGGGGCCGCTGCGTTTACCGCGGCCCAGCGAGCGCTCGCAGTCGGAGAAGACTGATTCTGCGTGTTGTGGGGTCATCTGACTACACGGTGGTAGAAAATCTGGCTGCTCAGGAAAGTGTGAAAAAGAAAATAAAAAGCTCTAGAGCTGGCAGGCACTTTAGCCCCCATTTTACACACGGAGACACAAGCTCAGAGAGGTTAAGGGCCTGGCCCCCAGTGGCCCAGCGGGCTGCATAGGTCCCGGAGCAGTCCTGATTTCGTGTTCTGCTCCCTGCGACAGGTGCGATACTGACCCGCTTCTAGGTTCTGAACACGTGGCCTTAGCCAGCCACCTGGGTGCTCCGTGGCTGGGGGCGCCCGCGAACCTGGGTTCAAACGCTGTCACTGTGGCTCACCATCTGCGTCACCTCGAGCACGTGGTCGAACTTTCCTACCTCATCCACCGGTGGGAGATTACGTGAGATGAACGGAACCTGGGTTTGCCTAGTGCAAGGTCCGGGTCACCAGGTGATAAAAAGGGAAGGGATCTAACGTTTGTTAAACACCTACTGCCGTCTCCTAGCCAGGCACTTTGCACACAATACCTCAGTTAAACCTCGCAGCACCCTGCCAGCTGCAGATACCGTCCCCTTTGTTACCTCCGGGGAAACTGAGATTGTAATCGGTTAATCCGTGCGGGGTTTGGATCCCCGGCTCTCTGACCTCTTTGTAGAAAGGGGTTAGGGCACGCCTCAAGAGGCCGCTTGGACAGGCATTACACCCGAGCTAGCCTGCGCTGTCTCTGGGGCACGGCCTTGAGGACGTCCCGGGCTATTACAAATATTGCCTCAAAGTTGGGGCTCCTTGTAAAACCCGGAGAAGGAGCAGCTGGGCCAGGAGGCGTGCGGGGGTAGGCGTGGGGGGGGGAGGGCTCGCGGGGAGGCTGATGTGGCAATCCTGCGGGCAGGGCGAGAGGAGGAAGGAAGGTCAGGAAATGATTAACCGGGCCGGGCCTGGTAGTGGTTAGAGCAGGGCACCTCCCCGCAGTGCAGTCCTGGAGCAACCCAGGGACGCCCTCTCGGTCCCTTCTCACCCCTCCCCATCACCCCACAACCCCCGCCACCACTCGGTTTCTTCTGCTCACTCCTCTGCCTAATGGTGACCACTCACCTGAGGCATCTCTGCCGACCCTTTCCCCAGTAATATTTCAGAGTCGAAGCTCTTTTGTAGCTTTCCAAGTTTTGATTGCTGTTAGAGCCAGCCCCGGTCTGGGGATTTTAAGGCAGTGAGTTGTGGAAAGTGCAGCAGCTCAAATTCTAGCTCTATTGCCTACTTGATGGCCAACTTTAGCAAGTGTCTCTAGTCCTCCCAAGCCTTTTTCTCCATCTGTAAAACTGGAAAAATAATACTTCTCTCTCAAGGAAGCTGTGAGAATTGCCACCACGTAGTAGGTCGCCAGTAATTTATAGCTTTTTTTTTAAATGACAGCAGTTTAAAGCATAATTCCCCAGGAAGGGGGTGGGTAAACAGTAAATCTGACCTTTGCTCCAGCTTTTCCAGCCCTCTCCTCCTATCAACCGATTGGTCTTTCAAGGAAACAGAAGGCTGCACCAACTTCTGTTTCTCTCTGGACACTTTCCCCCATTTAGTAGCCATACCCCCTCATTTCGCCATGGAGCATGCCCTCGCTCATGCCAGCATGTAATGTTTCTTTTTTCACCCTCAGAGACTCAGTTTCCTAATCCTCTAGACCTCAGCTTATACATCACTCCCTCCCAGAGGCCTTTCCTGACCCTGATCTACCCCCAGGTTACCTCCAGGTGTGTGATGCCCTTGTCTGCCCCTACACTCTGCCTTTTTTAAACACTCTTCATGCATGTAATTATTTGTTTAATGTCTGTCTTCCCCTTGGAGGTCCATAAGGGTAGCAAACAAGTCTGTCTGGTTTCCTGCTGTATTCCTAACATAACATGTGGAACATGGAGGGCGTCCAATAAACGTGTTCAATAATAAATGAATGAGTGAGGGATCGATTAGCAATGTCTACCATGGTCAGGAGCTTAGGAAGTTGCCCAATATTTGCCCTCCCCCCTTCAAGTGATCTCTAAATTTCCTTTCGCCTCTGAGTTTAAGATTTTTAAGGGCATCAGGAACGTGAAAGCACCTCATACGTAAGGTGAAAACTGCTGGGGAAAAAAAAAAAAAGGAAAAGAAACTTTTTTTTAGTGTCTTCTCTCCCCACCCAGAATAAAAACCCCTCTGAGAAAGGACCTTAATGTAGTCATCCCTGACTGCTATAGTTCCCAGAGACAAACTATGACCATCACGCAGTCCAGAGAAGCTGGGCAAAATGGGAGAGGCCCTGCTGGGGCTTTCACTAAATTTCCCTAAAACATAGGGAACGTTCCTGTGTCTTTGAAAGTTTTCATGATTAAAAAAAAATCTTTTTAGAGAAAAAAAAAACTCGCGGTGCGTAAATGTGTGAAACGGGGGAAGACCACGGGGCACACTGGGAAATCTGCATAGAAGACAACGTTCGCTTTTTTGTTCTCGGCCCGCATCCCTCTGGCCCTGAGGAGCTCTGCTGTGCAGACCAGCGAGCCCCGGTGCGGATGCGCCGGCCTCCGGCTCGGGCGCGAGGGGCCCGCGCGGCCGCCGGGATTCCCCACCCAGCCCGGAAGCGGGGGGCGCCCCTGCCAGAAGCGGCGGGAGTGTTTTACAAGTTTGCATCTTTCAGAGGAGAGGAATGTACAGTTTCAGCCATAATCTCAAATGTTTCTCTTCTAAAAGAGATACATACGTATATAAGGGGGGGATAGGCTGAGGGGGGGAGGGGAGAGATCATACGTTGCCATGGGAACCATGATCAGGAAAGTTCTTAAGGTTGCTGTGACCTTCCCCTAGCCTCAGACCTGAGACTTCTGGTAGATTCGGTGGTCCTGAAGCAAGGATTACAAGCTGAGCAGGCCAGGGAAAGACTAGCTCTGACTATCCCCACTCAGTCAAGGCTATTGGAAGCACCCAGAGAGCTGGGTTAATTATTTACCTTAGAGATTTTTCTAGGAGCCAAGCCTCCTTGGGGAACCAAAGTTAGATCCAGAGGAGGCCTGGTGAGTATTCAGAAGGAGGGGAGCGGAGTAGCCGCTCAGGGACTCTTTTATCAGCTGGTTTGATTTTCTAAGCGGCACTTATCTGACACTTCCTTGCTTGTTTCCTTGTTTATCTGTTGTCACTCTCTTCCAGAAGAACAGAGACTTTGCCAGTCCCATCCATTGCCTGATGTCCAGCTCCCGGAATTCAGCCCGGTACATGGCAGGCCTTCAGTAACTATTTGTTGAATCACTAAATGAAGGAAGGAAGGTGGGCGTGGGCACCAGCCAGCCAGCCCTCACTTCCGCACTCAGGGATATCCGCATTCTCCGCTCCTTTCCATTCACCTCTTTCGCATTATCTCCCTGCCCAAATTTTTCAGCGGCTCCCCATCTCTGGCAAGATAATATCAATCGGAAGCCGACTGACGTCACAGTCACCTGTCCCTTCTCTTTCACTAAAGCTTTTTTTTCCTACTGTTCCAGCAGTACCTAAAATAGTTCCCTCATTATAGAAAATGTGCTGCATCACACGTCTGTGTCCTCCCCCACCTCTTTCCTTTCTACCTGGCCAGCTCCTACTCCTTTCCCATGAAGCAAATAGCCTCCTCTGGGAAGCCCTCCCTCACTCACCAGAGCAGACTTCTAAGCCTCCACCCCTCCCAACCCCTGCCATTTCTGTCCCTGCAGCTTGTCACATGGTGCTGTTATTTTCTGTTTATGTTTCAGTCTCCCTTGAGAACAAATGGTTTTCTTTTCATCTGTGGATCCTAGGCACCTAGTTCAGCAATTGCAGGTATTAAACGATTATATTTGTTGATTAAATGTTAGAAGTGCCCCTTTTGAAAGTAGTTACATCATCGTTAAGTATGATGGTCTTCTAGGTATTCACAGAAAGGACCTCAACTATGTAAGATCAGAAACTTACATTTATTGGGTCCCAACTAGGTGCCAGATACTGTATCAAATGGGTTTCATTTCTTCTTTAATCCCCACACAAACCTGAGAGGGAGGTATTATCAACTCCATTTTGCTGATGAAAGAACTAATGCTCAAAGGTTAAATAACTGCACAAATGTATGCAGTTAGTAATTGATCTTTTATCAAAGGTGATAGAGTTTCACCCCTCATGCTCACGGTCAGCTAAGTGATTTTGCAGTATTGTATGGGGGTAGCTGAAATTCCTAATAATGAAGACTCTTAGGGACCTCAGGACACGGAAGACCCTTCTGAGTAATAAAAAAAGGAATCATTTAGGTTCATTACCTAAATAAAGAATCATTTAGGTTCAGCATCATTGTAATAATCATTATGTCATCAACATCTTAATTTGTATTGCTTCTAATGGTTTCTTCTTTATCATTGAAATGTGAACCTCACAGCACTTTTATGAGGGAGATGAGAGGTTCTCTTGCTTAAAGACCCACTTTGCAGATAAAGCTCTGACTGATTAAGCGAAGCAGTGTGGCTCTAGCACCCAACAACTCTGAGGATGAAGGAGTCACTTCTCTCTCTGGGCCCCAGTCTCCCATCTGTAAAATCAGGGGGTTGTACTAAATGATCCCCAAGGGCCTTTCCAGAGTGAGCATCCAGCGATCCTGGGACACTGCCAGATGCAAGACGGTCCTTGTGCCCTGTGGCAGAGACTGCTAACTGTTCACTCCAAATCTGTTTTCTCT